TTTAGACTATGGCTCACATAGCAAGAACAGAGAGGGCTTGTCTTTTTTAGCCAAGAGACACTCGTGCCGAACACATCGTCCGGATCCCAATGTTGCTGGTCACGCACCATGTCCAAGTAGTTCTCGCACCACCTGATTCAAGAGTTGACTGCTCTTTGAGGGCTGATACGAAACCGTTTAGATAACATGGGAAGCAGCTTGGCAATAGTTAGTTCTACTCAAATGTTCTCGGTCAGCAACCACGCATATCCGCCAGCGGATCTATGCAGGGTTACAATCACGACAACCTGACCAAAAAGAATGTAAATAGACACTAAGCCCTATAGTATAATATACGACAAAACGAAAGACTATACTATAATATGCTATAAGACTATAGTATGCTATAATGTATCTAGATTTATATTGCTGAAGCAGACGGGCACCCAAAATCTTGGCACACATCCCCTATGCATCTCATATCTCATATCTCATGCATGCTTTCGCTGCATTAGAGAGCACCCGTCGGTCCATATGATTATTCGAAACCTTTGACGGCCATCAAGAAATCAACAATTTCAATCCTGAAATTGACTGCCAAACATCTTAAACTTTTTAGGACAACATCCCTGCAGGCTGCACGCACTCCAGAGGTTTCCGTCAATATTCCAACATGGATTTCACACCGTCGAGTTTCTTGTAACTTGGATAGCTTACGACCCCTGGATGGCTATTTGACATGTGTTGCTAACACCTCATGGAACCGCGTAATCCTGAGGGCAGACATCTCCAAAGTACAGGACATCATGTGTAGGGACCCCCAAAACAGGTCCTAAGCCAACCCTAAACGCCTAAATCCCTAACCCCTAAACCCTACCTCCCAAGAAGCCAAGAGGGTGCCTTGGACTGTTCTTCGCCGCGCGGAGATGTTCCAAGTGCAGCTCGGCTTCTGCCTGCAATGAGGTCTGGGTAAACTTAGTGGTGGCTAGCAGGGAGTAAGTGAATATATAGGGTTTAGGGTTTAGGTTCAGGGTCTAGGGTTCAGGATTTAGGGTTTAGGGTTAAGGTTTAGGGTTGAGGCCAAGGTTTAGGGTTTAGGGTTGTAGGGTTTAAGGTTTAGGGTTTACTATAGGGATTACAGAAGAGAAATGGAAACTACTATCGCGTGTTTTGGGTAAATTCCACGCAGAAATATCCCCACCTCGTACTACGAACATGTGGCAACAGCCAGCACCTTGTGATCCTGCCTCCAGTAACTCTAGTCTATGGTGACCACGTCCTGTGTTTCTGAGGTGGGTGGCCTGTCTTCGGTCTGGAGTCCTCCTGTTGCCATTCCCGAAAACGCCTAAACCCATTGAATGGAAAATTGTTCGGTATACTCCTTGAACAACTTCCCTTCCAAGAAATTCCAAGCTGCAGCAGCCATGAAAAACACTTCCAGTATTCCACCCGTTATCCAAGTATAGTTTCTATATAACCACTGTATCGTCCTTACATAATCCCTATTAACGCAAGTAAACCGTGTGTTCCACCAAGGACCAGGACTTGAGGCATCAGTCCTCGAAACAGGAACTCCGTGAGCTCATCTTACTGGGGGCCAGTAAGACATGTACTCCCTGGATGTCATATGAAGAGTATATAGGGATTATATTCCCTTATTCCCTACTATATAGGGAGTATATGGGGATTCTATTCCCTTCTTCTCGACTACAGGGAGTACAGTATATTCCCTTCTTCTCGACTATATAGGGAGTATATGGGGCTCTATTCCCTTCTTCCCCACTATATAGGGAGTATACGGGGATTCTATTCCCTTATTCCCTACCCACCACCAGTAAGTCATTGCTGCACGCAAGGTGCCTCTTCCATGTCGAAGACCTCGCCCTGACGAGCTTGCTGACGGATTGGGGCAGGTCTTCTAGGATTCTTGCCCTGCTTTCAATGATCTTATACAATATACAGGATAATGGGGGTTTAGGGTTTAGGGTTTATGGAAAATACAATGGACATTGCTACATTAGAACAACCCCATTTCAGCAGTTTAGACTATAGCTCATGCATTGTCAAATGTATCGGGAACAGGATCTAACCCTCTTGGCCAAAGGTTCAAGGTCAGTGAGAAGACCTGGCAACGCTAACGAGGCCAAATTCTGAAATGGCTTGTGGTCTGGGTTGGACCCCCACCCACTAATAGTGGTATACTAGGAATATAAAAGGACCTTAATATAATTACCATTACCTCTTGTGGTCACTATTAGTGGGTGGGGGCCCAACCTAACTTATGCTGTTCTACCTCGAATTGGCGTAATGAAGCCCAACTGCAAAGCGCACGATGAAGTCACTGACCCTCAACAAAATCCTGGAACCAAATCGATGCTTGTGCAAGCGTTTAAGTAGTCTGAAATATCGGGGCACTTGAGATGCCGCAGGTTTACGTTACCCTAATCCAAGCACTCAGACGCCGCCGCCGCAGCAGCAGCAGCAGCAGTAATGACAATAAAAATCACAATCATGCTCATGACCTCAAGCCCTTGCTCTCAACCTCGTATCTGAAAACTTCTGCATTAAGACCCTGGTATCTCCCTTCATAACCCCTTAGTAGTCCCCTATATGATCCCCTGTATAACCCCATTTTAGCAAGACCTTGGTGGGGAAACCCTAAACCCCAAACCCTAGACAAACCCTGAAATCCTAAGCCCTAAACCGCTAAACCCCGAAACCCTTAAACCCTAAAACCCTAAAACCCTGGGTGCCTGAGAGGACAGCTCATAGTTATCCTCAGGATCTGGCGGCGGGAGCGGGTGCGCCCTGGCTGCAACAAAGCAAGGAAGAAGGCTTCAGGGCCTAACGAAGCTGTACATAATATACTGTTATATGCTATATGAAAAGATAATCTACTGTAATAATCTGTAAAATACTATAAGATACTGTGAAATTCTTTAATATACTGCAGTATACTGTAGTATACTAGAAGTAGGAGCAAAAGTCACGCAAGGTGCAGGCGTGGCAATGTTGGCCAATCCCGCTGGTGTCTGTAAACTGGCAGCAACCCTGGCAGAGATTAATTAAGGTCCAAGATATTCCAAGACAACCATGTCGTAACAATGTGAGCTATCGTCTAAACTCCTTGAAGGGGGGTGTAAAGGGGATTATATGGGGGACTACTATAGGGGTTAGTAAGGGGGATGCTAGGAGTTTAGACTATAGCTCATGTCAGCATGCGTCGAACCTATCGCCACCTTGCGTCAGACCCTGTACCCCTGGCCTCTTGAACTTTTGGGTTGTTCTCAAAATCATGGCCCCTTTTGGTTGTAGATTATTATACGGCACCTAATATCTAGGGGTACCAAAATGGGACCCTAATTTTGGAAACTACCCCTTTCAGAAAACATCCGGAATGTGCAGCCCGCAGGGTTCGTCTTGCTGCCACAGGCATGTAATACCACAGCATCACCTATAAATCTGGTATATGACCTCTGACCTCTCCCTTCCAAGCAAGATTCAAAAACCCTAAACCCTAAACTTTTAGATTGCACCTGATCTGGCGCCACAGCTTGGCAGACCGATCCCTGCAACACAGGCTTTTTCTTTCACTCTGCGGCAGCATGTGTTATAGTCCCCTTGAAGTAGATAGTATATTGGGTATATGAGGATCTTACTATCATATACCCAAAGCTAGATTCTATCTACTTAAGGGGGACTATTAGCCCTAAACCCTAAATAGTAGTTTCCATTTTCTTTTCCATTATCCCTATATAACCCCAAAATAACCCTAATATTCTATCTACTTGAAGGGGACTGAATCATATTCTAGATCGACCAACCTCCCTTCCCTACCTCTGATTCCTCAGATTTGCTGGAAACATTCCAACTTTATATAGGAATAGGGCTTAGGCATGCGCTGCAGAGTTCTCACAATAAGCACCGCTGCTAAAGCTTCAAAATCCCATAGCTCCACATCAAGACATTAGGAGGACCCCCCGCCCTGTAATAGTGGTAGAATAGGAATATGAGAGGACCCTAATATAATCCCCATTATCCATAATAGTCACTATTACTGGGTGGGGGGTCCACCTAATCAAGACATATCAAAAGTATGTCGGCTTGGTACTCCTGCAAGGCCCGAGTGCAAGAAGACGCTCCTCAGCCCCCGAACTAAAAAAAAGTACGAATTGGCGTAATATTAGGGTTCTATTGGGATAATGGAAAATAGAATGGAAACTAGTTTTTAAGGTTTAGGGTGTAGAGTTACCTTCAAAACCCTATAAACCCTATGAACCCCATTCCCAAAGAAACTAAAACTTGCCACTCAAGCTCAGGAGTTTCTTGTGCAGTATAAGCCTGCTGCGTGGAGAGACGCTGTCACCTGCAGCTGGTTCGTTAAGGCCCGAAATAAGTTACAGGATTATACAGGGTTTAGGGTTTATGGGGTTAAGGCCAACATAGGTTACCGGATGAAATCAGGTTTAGGGTTCAGGGTTAATGCCAACATGCAGGACTATATGGGGCTTAGGGTGTTTATGGGGTTAAAGCGTGCAATTGGCACCTTCAGCTAGTCAGCAGACATCTCTCTGGACCAGAAGGCCACTCAGTTGCAAAGGCATGATGTAGCTCTAGGGTCGGGCTGTGCTTGCAATGTTGGAAGCCTTTGCTTGTTCACGCTGCCATGGCCTGAAGCTGAACACCCGCCTGTGGGCACCGGATTGCTCTCTGTACTGGTGGCGCTACATTCCCTAAACTGAGCTATAGGAAAGGCGCGATGCATTTGCATTCGCAGCATATGTATGCAATTATCATGTCCAGGTTGCCGCTAAGCTGTGCCATGCAAGGTAAAGCAAGAGGAACAAGAGATTCATGTTCAAAGAGTTCCAGTTTGATGCTTCCAAATGCTTTCCGTTTTCTGTAGACATGTGGGGAAGGAAGACAAGCTCCAGTGAAATCATTGGTCCGAGATTGTTTTACAGGGTACTGGAACGCTGGAGGAAGGACCCTAGGAACCTAACCCCTTCCAAAGGAAAGCGAACTTCAAACACCCTGCACGTAACTGGCATAGCCTTAGGAAAGACCAACCAGATTGGTCTTAGGTCCGGGAGAGCACGCGCAATGCAGGCTGGCCAGCAAGGGGGATTGACAAACCCGGCTTCGTGCAATCAACGTTATCCTGGGTCCTTCCCCCTTACAGCAAGAGTTACCACAATGGGTAATAGGAGCTATAATGGCACCTTAATAAGACCCCGTCAAGGACAGTTGCTGTAGGGGGGAATGACCTACGTAAACCATAATCGTTTTGCTGCCCCAACTTCGGTCACAGATACGCACACTTGCTTCTGAAAGACTCACTATGATCATTACTATCATGATTACTAGCAATGAGGAGATGTGAAGTGCTGAAGCAAGGCAGCCAGCCAGGCCTCTCCAGCTGCCATGAATCTGCTCTGGTGGGGCATTAAGGAACGCCTGACAGGAGCATTGGCAATAGGGCTTAGGGTTTAGGGTGTAGGCGTAGAGGCAGGTTTTTGGGGTTTCCCTAAATGCTGAACCCCCTGCATCAGTTCTGGGAGACAAGGCCCTTGTTCCAGATTGCTCTTTGTATGCAGCAGCCTCCAATTCGCAGTACTGGCCGCTTTCCCAACCCCAAACCCTACAGTTACACGACATTCATCCAGAGGACCTATGTAGGGACAATGGAAATGGAAACTGCTACATTATAAGAGGTTATATATTGGGCTATAGTAGGAACACATATCATGTAGAAATCATTTGAGCTATAGGCTAAACCCTTAATACTCTATAACACTGCCCTCTATAATCTCTTATGTAACCTCCTTCAAGGAGTTTAGACTATAGCTCACCTAGGGGTTATATGCTGGCTTGCATGAATTGGATGCTTCTCTGGCCCCTGTGTCGAGGAAAGAAAATGCGAGGACTCCCCCATGTGAGCTAGAGTCGTAACTCCGAGTATCCCCCTGATTACCCCCTGTAATTCTCCCTAACATAATCCTATATATATATATATACACCCCTTTAAGGAGTTTAGACTATAGCTCACGAGGGCTTCCGCCTTCTGGGGCTGTATTACGGTATGTTTCTCTGAGCTGTCCGCAGCCAATGTCTTTCGCGTTATACACTCCCATGCTAATCATGCAGAGTTAACTGAATCTCAACGAATATTAGACTCAGCAGACTCAATGGCTGAACATCAAGAAAGGACTGTGAGTCCTGATGCCGGCTCCTGCCTCCAGCAGCACTGACTGGAGTTCTGCTTCACCAGCCACGTCACCAGACTCCTGCTTTGAATTTCCGAAATTGGTGCTGCACGGGCAGGTCCACTTCATCTAACGCTACGACCTGCATGTGGTGTTGACAGACAGAACGTTCTACGCATGAAACCTTCCAAGCAGTGGATGCAGCTGGTCTTGAAATGGTCTTGGAGCTTGGGTTTCATGGGGATACCTGGCTTGTAGAACTCGATCTTCGACAAAACTCATTTTTGAGATTTCTGCACGTGAGGCTTGCGAAGCTGACTCCGTATTCGTGGATCTTCAGAGTCGCTTCAGCTAAGGGCTTCTGCACATGTTCAATGCAGGGCTGTGCTATGGGGGAAGCGTGCGTCATCAAACGAAGCATACATATGAATCGGAGCAGCGCTGCCGACATCAACGCGCATCTTCTGACACAAAACGGCATGGCAGCCAAGCTGAATTGCGAGAGCCCACCACTTCATGTGAGCTGTTTGTCAGAGCATGCTGCATAGCAGTGGCCTCCTCTGCAGCGGATGAAGCTGCGAAGCTGCAGTCAGCCATGCTGGCCTATACGCACTTCAGCGAAGAATGTTCATCGAAGCAAGACGCGCTCCTGTAAGTGCCTTGCGAGGCATGTCTCGTGTAGAATTGATCTGGGTCCCTAGGTTCCTTGAGTGCTTCTAAGCTAAGGCAGTCAATCCACTGTGGCGTGCCTCAGCTATCGCCTCAGCCTCAACAATGGGCTTCGCCGCCTGCTCCTGCGTGAGGTGTGGTGCCGCAAGAACTGGTCGGGGATAAGGAAGCCTTGTCTGCTTTGAATGAAGGCCTTGAATAAACGGGATGCCTTTCTCAAATGCTGGGCGCCACTCCTCGGAGCTTGGCTGATCCAATGTTTCCGGCAGCGCCTGTGGACAACGGCGCGTGCTAGAGCCCCTCTGAAACTTTGGACTTATCACAGCAGGGACCTATCTTACCTCTGCATGCTCAGTTCATCCAAGAAATGCCAGAATTTGACTAGTTGCCAGCTGCGATGGCTGCCACGAACTACTTAAACATCAGAGGTATGTCGATGGATGAATGGCTCGGACAAGCTTATCTCAGCCAGATTGCAACATGACATCAGATCTCAGATTTTGCAGCAATGTGCAATACTGAAGGGGGCAAAGAGAACAAGGGGCAGGGCGCATAGCATTCAACAGACGAGAAGACGACGGGCGCAGTTGCCAGGCCTCTGTCATTGCCGGCTCAGACTCAGATGTCAAAGGCGCTGCTTTCGCCTGCCCAAGCGAAGCCCAAAAGGTGAAATCACACCCGACATCAACGCGCATCTTCTTCAACAGCATGGCAGCCAAGCTGAATTGCGAGAGCCCACCACTTCATGTGAGCTGTTTGTCAGAGCATGCATAGCAGTGGCCTCCTCTGCAGCGGATGAAGCTGCGAAGCTGCAGTCAGCCATGCTGGCCTATACGCACTTCAGCGAAGAATGTTCATCGAAGCAAGACGCGCTCATGTAAGTGCCTTGTGAGGCATGTCTCGTGTGGAACTGATCTAGGTCCCTAGGTTCCTTGAGTGCTTCTAAGCTAAGGCAGTCAATCCATTGTGGCGTGCCTCAGCTGTCGCCTCAGCCTCAACAATGGGCTTCGCCGCCTGCTCCTGCGTGAGGTGCGGTGCTGTAAGAACTGGTCAGAGAAAAGTCAGCCTTGTTGGGCTGCAGATCAGCCTTACCATGCCCGGACAACCCATGCTGAAGTGGTCAAAACCCCGAAGGCCCAAAACGTTGGTCTGCCCACAGTCCCTAGAAGCTTCAATCACGTGCATGTGAACCTACGCATTGAAGAGGCTCTGAAACGCATTTGGGTATCTTTGATGTTGTCGCTACCCAGGTTCTGCTCACCACTTCCTGGGGCAAAAGGTGAGTTCAGATGATGCCCCAGCCGCCTCGGGAACCATCAGAAAGTGGAATCGCGCGGCCTGCAAGCATACACAACATCTCACGCAAATGAAGACATGAAGCAGCTTCCTTCGATTCTATGTCCTAGATTCTAGATTTTGTGAGTTTCCACATTCTGCAGACAACCCGAGGCCATGCCAGCTGGGCCTCGTGGCAAGGGAAGCCCTCATCTTCCTCGCAGATACTTCACGCGAGTGGAGGCATGGATATATAATCCCCCTCAAGTAGATAGAACATGAGGTATATGGGGATCCTATTATACTGGTAATATACCCAAAGCCATATTCTATTTACCTAAGGGGGGCTATAACATAATATGGGAGGGACTGGTCCGAAGCAGCCTTCAGGCAGGGACTACTTCTGCACCTTGTCTACTGACAGGGTCCCGCCGGAATGTGCCTGAAAATTGACCAAAAGCTGCCGGGGCTTCCTCTACAGAAATGAACCTAAGACCTTGAAGCAATCATCAGCCAACAAAATCCGACTTGCTTTCTATTAATGGTGGAGACCTTGCACCAATTATCTGGCAAGCTATACCAAGGCAATCATCATTCGACCGGTGGGTCTAGTCTATTAGAACTCTTATGACGCCAATGCTGCTTCCACGAAACCCTTCTCGAAACCTTCCGCGGCCACAGAGCCCCCTCATCCTGCAACTGCTTGTTTCCAGGAAGCTTCCACGAACCTTCTCGCTTCTGAAATACTTTTGCGGCACCTTCCGCGCAACCCTTCCGCGAAGCCATCCCCTTTGATGAACCTTCCACGTCCTTCCGCGGACACAGTGTACAGTTTTGAGAGGGTTGATCTCAAGTTTTGTTTCGCCAACGAATTCACCGAAGACTGGCGGAAAAAAAGCTGCTGATGTCGCATGGCGCCTCGGCATCTTGGTCCTCGAGCTCATGACGCTTCTCAACAGCGCTTGCCTGCACGCTCTCATGTTTGTCACGCCAGGAAAGGCTAGTTCCCGCACCCCTCGTTCATAGGTTCAACTACCAGAGCAACAAGGCTTAGTATACTGGCATGAAGATCTCATGTTTGGCCTTTTTTGATGGGCCTTCGGCAACTCCCCTACCTTGCTTGGCCACACGTGAATCTACTCCTAGCCTAGGAAAAGCTAGTGCCTTGACTACCATGGCAGCACTGTGATGCCACGAGCCAGATGGCAACAGTTTCCATTTTCTTTTCCATTATCCTTATATAACCCCTATACAACCCCTATATAACCCCTGTATATCATAGCAGCTTCCATGTTCTTTTCCATTATCCTTATATAACCCCTATACAACCCCTATACAACCCCTATATAACCCCTATATATTATAGTACTTTCCATGTTCTTTCCCATTCTCCCTGGCCTTCTGAGCCAGAGATCGCAGGATCTCGGAGCTGGGACTGCTGGCCTCACATTGCATCAGTACCCAACTCTGCAGGAAGGCTTCATTGAACATGGAAACTACTATAATATATAGGGGTTATATAGGGGTTTTATAAGGATGGAAGGCTTCATCTGGGTTGCTGTTAAGGAACTTAAATTAAGGGATTATCCCCCTATAATGGAGAATCAAATGGAAAAGAAAATGGAAAATGAAATGGAAACTAGGGGAATATAGGGATTTAAGGAGCTTGAATTAAGTTACTATATTGGGGAAACCCTATTATTTACTATATATATACCCATTCTGGTAACTTAATTTAAGTTCCTTAACAGCAACCCAGTCATTGCCTTCCATTTGCTCAAGAACCGCCCAAAAAATCAAAAAGGATTCTTCCTTATAAGGATAATTTAGGGATTACTATTTCGGTCTTCTAAGGGTTCTTAAGCAAATGGTAGTTGCTCTGAAGGTAATCAACTTGCTGAAAGCACCTCGTCTTCAGAGCCCACCTCCTTCTCCTGGTGCTCCGCCTGCATCCCCAAAGCTGGCAAAGGGTTATATAGGGGTATGTAAGGTTATGTAGGGTTATATTTAGGGTTATGTAGGGGTATGGTGCCCAATAATGGAAAATCAAATGGAAAAGAAAATGGAAAATTGAAATAGAAACTCGGGTTATATTGGGGTTATATTGGGGATAATGGTGCGCATCCAGATGTGCATTGCCAGCACGGTGTAGACATGCGTAGACACATGTTTGGCGCAGGAATCAGAAAGCGAACCTCGAGGCCTTTTTCAATTAGTTGCGGATTAGAATGATTAGAAGCGCTTCCTCCTGCAAGCAGCATGCGGAAAGAATGTGTTGGTCGCGTTTGTCTGTACATTTTTGGGGCTGCCAGCCTGTGGATCATCCGCTGCATCCAGCTGTGAAAGCACAGCCTGCGGGACAAGAGGAGGCAAATGCATGACCT